CTTTACCGCACACGACGATAACCTCGACGTGATGTTTTATAAGCACCTTTTCTTTAATCCTCGATTCGAAGAAGGTGCATTAAAAGACGTAAGAATTTCTTTAACAGTTTCATGCTTTGTTTTCGAAATTTTCGTTAATTGAAGCTTACGTCCGACCAACAGGGATATAAAATGAAGAAGGCCTCGGAAGAAATAAAATCCGAATATTTGGAAATTCATCTGGAAGACGAAGAAGATAACGAATTCGAAAGATATAAGACGTCAATACAGCATAATCGAGATGAGTGTACTAATCCCGTCGAATGGTGGGGTCGACGTAAAAGCGAGCTGCCCAACATGGCTGAACTTGCGAAAAAGTATTTGGCCATTCCCATGTCATGTTATTCCCTCGAGAAATCGTATTCCGAACATTGCAGAAATCTAGGAATTCTATTAAACGATCTCCCGGATTTTAATATGGCGAAAAAGTTCAAATTCTTGAAACAAAACATGAATTACCTATGATAAAAAAGAAAAGAAAAGAAAGGGTAGACGACTAATCTTACCTTCCTTTAAAGAAATTCTTATATGTGGCACCTGTGGCACAAGAAACATAAGAACATTGGGTGGTTCCTTTATTCGTCTACCTTGGGATATACTACGTTGAATTTACTTAAAATTGAACAATAATTTAAATTACAAATATGTAATCTTCCTTCTGCGGAGCACATTAATATTTGTACATAGGTTTGTCCATATACATAAAGATCAATCAATCCTATATTACTTCGATCGGATATACTGTACAAACATAAAACCGGCGATTGCAATTATCTGCTGATTTATTTCATTTCTATGATCACGAATGATTATCGCAAACTTATTTTAAAAATTTTTTTTTAATCTGATGTTCGTGTGGGTTTTTACGTGTTGTAACTTAGAAAAAAATTTTAAACCAATCATAATGATAATGATAATACTATTCAACAAGGTAAAAATTCAATGTATCGAATAAACTAATCAAGCGATTTGGAATTCCAAATCAAATCAATTTTTTTATCATGTTATAGTAAAATAGAATATTCACTGGATTAAATGAAATAGAATGCATATAGGATTTTGATTACAGTACAATGTTGTCGTTTATTTACTATATACAGTATAATAAGATAATATCGCGAGTATAACGAGCATAAATTATTTGAATTATTATAATATCCAAAAGAAAAAAAAAATTTTTTTTTCACCATTAAACAAACCATTAAAATAGGTTTATTATTTGCTGTTTGATTTATTGTAACAACAAAACCATAAATTGATATTTCTTTTGATTTAAAATAATTAATTTGATTTTTATTGTTAAATTAATTATTCATATTATTTAAAATTATCATTATCATATCAAAACATTTTTTTTAATAATTTTTTAAAAAGCACTTTTTATGAATTCTCTAATTATACATCAAAAAGATATTCATAAAATTTTTTATAATTTTTAGACTAATAAAATCTTGAAGTTTTGTTCAAGGATTATTTTTATTTGATTTTATTTGATTTTAAATTTCTTTAAGTAAAAGCTTGATTTTTAATAATTCGAATAAATTAAATAATATTTTTTGTTTTTAGTAAAACTCTTTTTGCATTTTTTTTTTCACGTTATTCATAATCAAACTAGATTATAGTTTATTAATCAATTGAAAATATAAGTAAATTTTGATTTAAGTAGCATGATGCATATTATAATTAAGCAGTTTTGATCAAATCGAGCTAATTTATCATAAGTATAAAGTCTCTAAGTTTGATTTTAAAAATAATATTTTACTTTATAATAGATTTTAGATGAATATCCTTTAATTTATACATTATTATTATCAAGTTGTAGAGCTTTAACCTTGATTAACGTTAGTTAAATATACTTTTTCTTTACAAGATCTAGCATTCTCATCCATAATGATCAATTCTTTTCTTTTAGCCATCTTTTATATGTCATCTTCAGATCTTCTTTTTTTAACTTTTGTTATTTAAAGATGTAGACTTGATTATCTGTAAAGATCATTATCATACTATCTATTAGAACTACCAAAGCTATTGTAATCAGTATCACTAGTACTACCCTTGTAGACAAGAGCCAGTTTTTGACTCTTGTCTGAAATTTACTTTCTTTTTTAACTCCTTCTGTTTGTATCCATGCTGCACACATTTTTGCATTTTTATTCACATGGTTAATTAAGGATTTATCAGAGTAAAAGATCAACTTCTCTTGTAATTCTTAATTACACTGGAGAATTTCAAGTAGGTGATCTTAAAATACTCCTTGTTTAACATTGTCTCTAAGTATTTCTTGTTTCTAATCTCCTATTAATACTTGTTCTATTTTTTCAATTTGATTATTTGTCAGATCTTGGGTTTTTGTGACTATATATTTGATTATTATACTATTTAGTTTCAATAGGAAACAAAAAACTTTTAGTGATTGCACTTTCCTAGTATTTTTTTGATGGTTTAAGAATAATATAGTACAGATTAAATCTAATTTTATTTCTATATTATATTAGTTTCTATTTCTATTGTTTAGTGAGCATCCTGTATATTTGATAAGAACTGTTTCTAGACCATCTGTTTTCTGATGGTTGAAATAATGAATTATCATAGTATCTTAACTGTTTTCTTAAATCAGTTTTCCTCATACTATTTGTTGATTCTCTTTTTGGACAACTATCCAGGTTTTCTTTTTTTTATCTCTATCAAATTTAGGTTTAATGCATTTTGATAATCATTTTTTTTATATCCCTTTTTTCAAA